CTTGCCTTAGCCTCCAAGTAGCTAGTTTGATAGACACATGCCTGGCTTTCTAGGGTGGGGCAGGAATTGAACTCATGTGGCCTCAGCCCACCAAGCAACAGCATCCAGTGTGTGCTATTGTGCCTGAACCCTTTCTTCACTTCAGAGCTCCTTCAATGACATCTTCTCATCATGGCTGAACTGATCTTCTAAAACCACAAATCTAAAAGTGTTATATTCTTGCTTAAAACTTTGCAAGGCTTCCCATTGCTCTTAGAATAGAGATCAGAACTGTACTGCAACATACAAAGCACTGGATGATCTGGCCCTGCCTGATTCCCCTAGATGATCTGGCACTCTCCCCTCCTCAAAGAAGCCAGCTCCTTCCACCTAGCACCCTTGGCCAGATGTTGCCCCTCAAATCCACCTCTTTCCACCTACTGACTTCTGTCTCACCCTTTAGCCCTCAGCTACCCCTGACTTGTCTCTCTGCCTGCCCAGTCCTCAACCCTCTGTTCCTCTGCAGCCTGCCTCCCGAACCCTGGAGCACTTAAATCTCCTCTTCTATGGCGACATGATTGAGGCATAGGATTTAATTTTCCTAGACTCTGGATTAAGCACAGGCATTGCTTAGAAGCCTGGATGCAGATCCCAATCCTGCGTTTACCACCAACTGAGAGTCATATGACTTCTCTGAAGCTTGGGGGAAGAATATCAACATTGTAGGATTTCTGGGAGAATTTGTTGAGAATATGAGTATGCAGACCACAGTACTGAGCATTGTAGGTGCTTAGCAAATGCTCGTTTCCTTTTTGTAAGTATGAAAGAACAAGTGCTCTTTCTCTGTTTTTTTTTTTTAATTGCCAGAAGGCATGCTTGCTTCCTAGAAAGAAACAGAGAGGCTTTTGCGCACATACGGAGCAAAAGGGAACACTCTCCAGCAGGGTATGGTCATATTGCAATTTCTTTTCCTCCATTTCTCTATCCTGTTGGGACTTGGGGTATGCACACACATATGCCCAAAGTGTTTTTCAAGATGCCAGGGCCCAGATTCAAAACACAGTCAGCCATGTGGCATCCAGCTCCCTAAACCACTAGGTTACAGGGCCAGCCTCATTATTTTTTGTAAGATAGAAAACTTCGTGTGTTTTTAGGGCTCCATATCTAATGTCCATCCATGAGGTGAGCATGTGTGTCTAAATAAACATGGGCTTTAGGGCCAGAAGATCTGAGTCCCACAGCTGGAGTCATCACTAACCAGCCAAGGGGTATCCAACTCCACTCAGCTTTGTTGAGCCTCAAAGTATGTATCTATGAAAATAGTAATAATGTTAAGACCTTCCAGGGTTTCTGGGAGGACCAAATAAGTTAATATATATATAAAAGTGTTTTGTAAACCTTGAAATTTCAAGATAACTCTTTTTGTAATTGTCTGTTGCTCTCACCGTCTCACCCAGGTAAGCTTTGTCTCTATAGCAGGGTTCACAGCACCTTCAGCTGGATCCTCAGTGAGGTTTTGTTTTTGTTTTTGTTTTTAAGTTTATTTCTTCCTAGAGAGAGAGAGAAACAGATACCCCCAACAGGGTCTCCATGCTGTAGTCTACTGCCGGCCTCAGTCAGTTGAATCACGGCATGCACACGTGTGCCTGATGTGTACAGGGAGGCCTCAGGATGTGAATCCGGGACCTTCCCATGTGGGCCCAGCATTGCAGAGTGATGTGTGACTGCTGCACCAACTGGCCCTGTCAATGGTATTTAACACGAGTCCCGGCACAGAAATGACACTCAGTAGGAATTTGCTGGTGGTATGAACGATGGACACGGACACATGTCGCCCTGATGTACTTCAAGAGAGGACTTGCTTCCCAGCTGCAGGGGAGCTTCCTCCAGCACCCTCGAGTTGCCTTGCCTGCATTCTTCCAGACCTCACGCCTTCCCAGAGGCAACTTGCCTTGTTTTTGGGGACTAATGAAGGAGGCTATGGAGTCTGCCCAGTAGCTCTGGTCCTCCCATTGCCCCTTTTCCCCCACCTAGGGGTTTCCTCATAGTATCCTACACCATGAACCATTCTCAGAGTCACAGCTCAGAGAACCCAACCTGTGCTCTATGGTGTCCAGATAGACTTCGCCCTTGGCAGGCTGCATGGACACAGATCTGTATGTTTTCTCCACACATTTGAACTAAGGATCTGTTTTATTCTGATTGCTCAAGAAATTTTTAAAAAGGGCATGCCGCATGGCTACTGTGGTCTATCATTGAGAAAGGAGCATGTCATATGGAATTCAGTGGCTCATGCCATGTTATTGTGTGTGCAAAGCATTGTTATGAGAAGGTTATTTGGGAGTCAGAAAGTTCCCAATGACAAAGATAGTTGAAGAGCTAATGAGTGTGTATTGCCTTAGCTTAATTGGCCTTGATTCAATTATTTTCCTGCCAGAAAAAGATTATTCCTATTTTACTTGAACTGTTTTGGAATAGGAAAATAATTGAAATCTCTCCTCAGCTTACTTAACAAAATCAGGGTAATCTAAATACTCAAATCTGTTAAAGATGGTATGAAGATAAGAAAGCTGCAAATCAAATCAAGCAGTATTTAAATAATAATAATACTTGCTGCACTCCTTAGAGGCAGCTTTGTGCCAGGCAAAGTGCCGGGGCTCTGAATCAGGCTGCCAGGAGTTGAATCCCAACTCACTTTCCAGCATTGAGAACTTGGGTTTACTATGTATCCTCTCCAAGAGTCAGTGCCATCCTTTGTGAGATGGGAATGATAATAGTATCCAGTTAGGAAGGTTTCTGTAAAGACTAAGCAAAAAAATGACCAGCTGCAGTGGTGTAGCAGTAATGAAATGTTCCACGTTGTTGAGGCCACATGGGAAGGTCCTAGGTTCAGAACTGTGACATCTCCCTGTACACTCGGGGAAAGCCGGGGTCTCCTACACAGGGCTGTGATATGGGCTGCCTGGCACTGGGCAAAAGATTGCAGCAGAAGATGCCTTTGTGGGTGTCCTTCTTTCATGGAGGTTTCACGTGCAACACACAGCATATACAGACCCTGCCCATAGAGCCCAGAGGTGCCTGATATCCTGACCAGGTGGGAGGTGTAAGAAAATAACCTAAGTGACTCATTTTCAAGAGTAGCTTAATAGAAGTTGTTAAACCAGCTTGTAGATGTGACAACCCCAAGAAAGTACACATTCTTGGAAAGTTCTCGAACAAAAGAAACCTCAAACCAAAAGGTTGTCCTTGAAAAAATGACTTCTTGGGACCAGCAGTTAGCGTAATGGCTATGTGGCTGAATTCCCATGTAGTCGACCGCGGTTCGAGTCCCGGACCTAGTGGCTTAAACTCATGCCAGGCGCATGTGCGGGCTTGCCCAAGATCCTGAGAGGAGAATGAGGAAAAAGGGATTGCGGTGTGGCCATCCCCATGGGGGG